CCCCCCCCCCCCCCCCCGCTTCTTGCTAGGCAGAAAATACAGAACAAGCACTGAACATGCTTGGCTGGGCCACATGGTGCAGGTCTTTTGCTCCTGCAGCAGGTGCAGACAAGCGGAGAGAGCAGAAGCACCCAGATGCTCCAGTATCCCCAGATCCAACTCTCTGGGCTTTGAGAAATGTCCCCATTGCTTACAATGTGGGCAGGATCCCTAGGATGCCAGGGCCCTAAGCCTCACAGCACAGTCCCTTTCCTCCAACAGCCACTAACTGAGTCAATCCCTGCCAGCCAAGGAAGACTCTGGCCACAATCAGAGACTTGCCCGCTGTCTGTGCTGCACTGGTCACTAACACATGGGTACCTGCTGCATTGGCCCTGTCTGCTCCAGCTAAAACCAACCAACAGCACAGCCTGCTCCCCCTCCAAGGGGCACTAATGGAGTCAATCCCTGGCAGCTCTAGGGCCAGGCCTCTGCAGTAAGTGCTGCTCAGGTCCTGGTAAATCACCCAGTCACCCACTGGCACTGGGAGGCACCTGCTGACCCCCAAGGAGAGATGTACCTATGGCCTCTGGGGGCACAACATGAGGGTTGCAGTTCACAAACTTCACATCATCGACAGCCACACTTGCCACGCTTGGTACTGCAAGGCCTTGGGGACTCACCAAGCCAATGAGCTCCACCTGAGGGGGAAGGAGCCCTAGTAAGAAACATGGGTCCAGATACGCCTCACCCCACAGGGCCCTCAGCCCAACACTCACCACCCCCATCCCAAGCTGATCAGGACCTCCAGCTCCCCTGTTCCTTTAATGTCTTGGAAAACTCAGCACAGAGATGAGGGGCTTGGGAGGGGTAGCTTGGGGACAGCTGCTCTCCAGCTGCAGAGTGGGCAGCAGCTCCTACACTTCCCACCTGCACTTATGGGACCCCCAATATCCTGCTGGCACTCAGGCTCAGTGCCCATTAAGCTCTTGGCCTCTCAGTTCAAGAACCCAACAGGGGCAATACGCTGTCATGTCTCTGTAGGACAGAGAGAGCCTGGCTTCTGCTACCCCACCACCATGGGATGGTAGTGACCTATGGATACTACCACCCTTGGTGGATCTGGAAGGAATGCCTTCAGGAAAAGGGGCACCTGCTCCATCCCCTGCCCCCAAGCTTAGATGGTTGTGCACTGTGGGGGCTTTCCAGCTGGTCCCTAAGCTTTGTATCCCACAATGCCCTGTAACCACTCCCTGCCCCTGAAGCTCTGGGCAAGCATGCTCAGCTGACTTGCCCAACCTGGAAGGGTCTGGGTCTCTCTCCAAGAGGAACGGTGACTTTTTTCCACTCCATGCTGCCATTGCCCTGCATGTACCAGACCAGCTGGTGCATGCGCAGTGAATGATCCACAGTGCTGACAGCAATGAATCCTAGCAGATGGAGAAAAGTGTCAATGGGTGGTATGGGCTGTTTGGCAGGATCACTGCTCTGATATAGTGACTGACTGCATGATTGGGAATGCGGGGGGCAGGGGGCTGGGTCAGGGCCTCACAGGGATTTGGAGGGGTGAAGGGACAGGGGACTGTCCTGGAGCTGCAGCTCTGAGAACCCCCTTTCATGAGTACAGCTGGCCCCTCTCCCTGTGGCACCAGGAGCCTCTTTTGCAGCAGCACAGTCAAGCTCTGATGGGATCCCACTCAGAAGGGCCCCAATCTTGACACATCCTGGGAGCAGGGGTGCAGCTGAGCCACGCTGGGAAGCCACCAGGTCAGCG